TTTTTAAAAGCCAGTTAAAAACTTGGTTATTCAAGAAGGCCTTCACTCCAGTCAATTAAGTCTTTCTCTCTCTCTCTTACTCTCTCTCTCTCTCTCTCTCTCTTTTTTGGCTCTTCCATCTTGGTAATCCTCTCTTTAAATTAATTGTTTTAAATTGAAATTTGTAATTTTATGATTTTATATATTTTTATACTGTTTTGTTTTATTTTGTAAGCCGCCCCGAGTAGACATGGTCTAGAGGGGCGGGGTAAAAATCAAATAAATAAATAAATAAATAAATAAAATGAATGACTTTCCCTTTGAGAATTTTCAAGCTGTCTAAGACTGCTATTGAAATCCTTCTGATCTAACTCAGTGAAAGCAACACCTCCCACACCCACATGTTTGCATGCAACTCATGCCACAGCTTCATTGCTTGGATGACGGAGACACTTTTTTACTGCGGCATTACAAAATATTTAGGAAGAAAGCCATTCGATCCATTTGAAGTGCTTTAAATATCTGCCTCAAATAAAGTAACCAGACAGTATGATGCTCTTGGTTGGGCAGGAATGGGTGGGCAGCTTGCAGCTGTCCCGATGGTGTTGGAATATGGCTCCCACCAGCCCTAGGCAGTATAGCAATGGTGAGGGATAATGTGGATGGCAGTTGAACAACTTCTTAAGGGCCACAAGTTGCCAACTCCTGAAATTAGATATTTAAATCACTGGGAAATGATAAGGAAAAAAATTTCTAGTGATACTGACAACATTTGACATTAAATGACCAATTCATTATTGTTGGTTTTTTCCTGCCAGAAATAGTGTGTACAAACTACACATTAGTCTAATTTAGGAACACTGCAACCAGATAGAGACTTGGACACAAAACTGCACATTAACTTGATATCTGGCACATTGCATTGTGTAAGGCAGACTGGGGGGGGGAGGAGGATTGCTCAACTTGTGTAGCTAGAGATCAAACTGCCTCTGACACAAGATGAAATTTCGTTCAGGGTCCCACCCATTTTCATACAGAACAGCACTCTTTCCTAAAACTGTGTCTATCCATTCCAGAACATCAGCACAAATCCATACATTCCTCCTCAGCTTAAGAGATGAAGCTAGATATGAAACCAGACACTAAAAATAAACTCCCTTTCTCTTAAAATAAAGGCTTTGATACAAGAGGATCATAACTGCCTCCAAATCGTACCCAGTACTGCCAATACGAAACTGGAGCAGGATCCATGAAATCCAGATAGGATCATGTATGTTTCCCTCCACTTTTCCATGGAGTGGGGGCATCAAAGGATCCCACAGGTCCTGATACAAGACAAAACACAGAGCTTCTTTTATTTTATTTATTCTATTTTATGTATTCATTTGATTTATACCCCGCTCCCCTAGACAGCATCTACTTGGGGCGGCTTACAAAATCATAAAATCATTGAATAACAATAAAAACATCACTATCAAAAATAAACAACATTCATAATAATAAAAAAACCATTTGAACAATAATATAGCATGATCAAGATGGGGAATCCAAGAACAGAAAGACAGAATTCAGGAAATGAGGGAAAGTCTGCCTGAAGAGCCAAGTTTTTATAACTAAAGGTGTGATCACACAGGTAAATAGATCACACTTTAGACCACTTGTGTAGCAGTCTGGTACAATCTTTTCCCCTGTAATCACACAACGTATTGGAATTGTGCTCCAGCCTGACCATGCTCAAGCTGGATCTTTTTGGTCCAGTTCTAGGTACTACTATCTTTGGGGGGTGAGCTGAAGCAATTCCCCAGCAGACAGAAGGGACACTTTAAGGGAGATTGCTTCCTGCAAAGCATCCCTTTCCAGTGCAACTGGATGTGACACTTTCCAGTTGTTTGATCACACCCTATGCTAATGAAATATCTCCAAACAGCTTTAACCATCTGCTGGATGCCTCAGTCCTCAGCTTCCAATTGCCAGAGGTGACTAAACTGTCTTTCCCTCCCCAACTGCCAAAACTGTCTTGGAGTTATTGGGAGTGGCTCTGTTGGCCATGGCTGCCACCTTGTCTGAGTTATGGCACCCTGTGGCCAACTGATGCTTGAGGTTTGCAGCACTTCCTTAGGTGGTTTAAGCTAGGGTCACTCTAGCGTCCCCACTCAGGTCCCTACTTCACTGTCCTCCTCTGCCTTCTCCTCTTCCTCCACTGCCTGCTGCCATCAGTCCTCCCCATGACTGTTTTCTCCACCCCCTTTTATATCTCCGGGGTCTCCCTCCTCCTTTCGATACCCTTCTGAGCAACGCTTATCTCATTCCTTACCCTCTGGACCTTCTAGCTTTAGATGTTATTCAACTGCAATTCACAGAAACCCTGGCCACTGGATGTGCTGGCTAGGATTGCTGGGAATTGTAGTCCAAGTAAATGTGGGACTCCAAATCTGGGAAACCATTGGAATGTAAGAATCTCACAACCTACAACCAGGACTACTTACGGTATGGGAAAACCAGTAAGGGGGAAAGGACATTAATTTCCCCATGCTACTGATAGATGATTACGGTGAATAGTTAAGTCTAAACATTGTAAATAAAGAACAAAGAGGAAGTTGTTCTGTCGTCTTCAGGTTAATGACATGCTCAACACAGAAAACTATATTCTGGGACAGCATTTAGCACAGCTATTGGTTTTACTAAGATTAATGAAGTGATAAATCACCAGTACGTCTGAAATGAATTACATCTATTAGCTTTGGCTTCTCTCCTAGTTGCCAAGAATTCCCAGGAATGAAGGACTATTTAACAGCCCTGAGAATAACCTTTGCTATGGCACTTATTTGTATTTCTTCCTCCCCTTCTCTCCTATCTAGGATACAGAATAGTTAAGCTCTGGTACAAGATAGGAGGTCTTCATAGAGTGTTTTTAATGTTACTTATATATGTTTTGTTTTTGTTTTTGCTTCCCACAATAAAACCCAAACCGGCATACACATGGTTCTTACATAATCTCCTACTCAGGCAATGATTTATACAGACCTACACATTCAAACTGCCAACATGTTTTTTGTGTGTTCATCTATGATTTCGTACATCTAAAAATGTAACATATGGATTTGACAAACTATGTTTGCAAACATATCCTTTCTCCTGCTCTGGTTGTTTCCCCTCCTCCTCCTTTCTTTTGCGCCTTCCTTCATCTGCTCCAATGACTAATATACTGTAAATGAACTGCCAGAGAAGCATGACTGACTGCACTTGGTGGCAAGAGTGAATCTCCTGGAAATTACAATGCAGGGTTGGACAACATGAGGGTCAAATCCTGCATCCACCCCCCCCCTCATTTTTCAAAACAAGGAACATGCCTCTGCATTTAGGTGGTACAGTCGAAGGAGGGCACAGCCCCCAGTGGATCGGGAGGAGGAATACACCCCTCACCTCTACCTCTGGATGTGCTACCCAAATGGTGGGATATCCATAATTATAAATACTGTACACTAGAATAGTTGCATTATTTGAGGAAGTTCTTTGATGCCATCTTATTTATGAAGCCCCATATTCTCTCTTTCCCTTTCCCTTTCTGCCTTCTCTTTCTCTGTTCAGCAACTTCAGTAATAACATACTGGTGAGTGGCTGAATTGGCTGCTGCCTTACAAACTGGGATGAACTGGGATGGACTGGTTCATGCCCATCTCTAAAATAAACCCATTATGACATTAAGTGGTTGAAATCCTGCTGTTTACTGTTGTGAGTTGAAACTAGGGCAGGTCCACTGAATCAGGGGGGTTTAGTGAGTCAACTCCTCTGTAAATCCCATTGATTCAATGAGTCTACTTCAGTTGTGTCTTACTTCAGTATATTGGTCAATGTTTCCTGGCTTGGAACCTGGGGACCTCTATTGACCCTTACATGTCATCTACTGCAAATCCAACCCTCCTATTTCCTCCTCCCCCTCTTATTTGCTACTATCACCAGGAATTCTGGTGAGATATATGACTGGTTTGGGTACTGTGTACCTTACATAAAATTCGGAAAATGATGAATAAAAGTATTCGTCTCTAAGAAGCAGAAAAGTTCCATCTCATAAAAATTCTGTACCTGTAGCAGCTGGGAAGAACACCCCAAACACAGTGAAGAAGGTCTCCTCAGGGCTGTAATCCGGCAGTGTGTTGTTCAACATAAGCTCTTCAGAATAGCCAACGAAACCATGTTCTGCATATTTCAGAGTAAAAATGACAATAGCACATGTTAAATGTGACAGGCCACTGCACCTCTTATTTACTGTCTCTCCCTCCCCATCATTTAATTTTCCATTTTTCCACAAGTATGACACAAGTATCACCACACTATTACTGAACCAGAGGGATACAAGAGCAAATAGTTCGAGAGACGTATAGTAGCTTGGTGCCTAAAACAAAGGGCATCTCTGATGCTTCTGGAATACGATGGTTTACAGAGAAAACAGTTTAAAATAAACAGAATATGTTATAACTGGTAACATTTAACCAATCTATTTTAATTTTTAAAAACCACATCAGCAAACATATATATCTGGAACCTTCAAGCTCTGACCTGTGTTGGGGCTTATAATGGGAAAGTCACCAACGCTTCAACTGATCCTTGGCTCTTGAGAGCTGCTGGTATAATGCAATGTAACCTTACACCAGGTGGCAGGATGTTGAGCCCTACTTTGGAGTGGCCATATGCATGTTTACCTATAAGTAAGTTCCCACAGTGCTCAATGGGGCTTAATCCTAGGGAACTGGGTACAGCAATCTTTCCGATCTGATACTCTACGAATGTGTGGACTACAACTCTCACCACACCAAAGCAGCATGACCACTACAGTCCAATGCATCTGGAGGTTCCCAGTCTGGGGAAGGATGGAATATGGGATTCTCTCTGCCTCCAATCACATCTAATAGGCCAACGACATTAAGAAGAGCCATGTTCAATCAGACCACACTGGCCCATCTAGCCCAGCTTCTGTTCACACAGTGACCATCCTTTTCTTCTAATAGCAAGCCCGAGGAGGACATGAACACCTTAGCACCCTTCCCCTTTGAGCTCCTTAGCAATGGGTAAACATGAACATGATGTCTCTCATACCCGGGAGAAAAGATATCCGTTGTGACAAAGAGCCCCATCATCCCCGAATTTGTCTCATGCCCATTTAAAGTCATTTTAACTGGCACCTATCACTGCATGCAGCGGTGGTGAATTAGTTTGACTTGGGAACTTTATCTCTATTTTAGTTTAACTTTATCTCTATTTTGCTATAAGCCTGAGTATACAAAGGATGGGACTATAACTGGCATCTGGCATGCAGAGTCAACAAAAGGTCAAGTGAGTCATAGATATAATTTCTGTCACCCGTTTTTAAATCATCATGAAAGAAAGAAAGAAAGAAAGAAAGAAAGAAAGAAAGAAAGAAAGAAAGAAAGAAAGAAAGAAAGAAAGAAAGAAAGAGTATCTTCCTCTTTGCTTTACACTGATGATCACTGAGCCATGAAACCTTGATTTCTTTGTCTATAATTCATAGAGCCTAGAGGCAAAACTTGCTATAAAACCTTATGTAAGAGCTCTGTCAGAGGAGTTTGTCAGATAGGGTCATGCACAACAGAGATGTGGGTGGCAGTGGTGGTATGGGGGAAGTCCCAGAAAAAGAGCTTGGAACAACAACACTGAATGCTGAGGGTGTGGTCATGTTCCACACCCACAGTACATGGCTTGCCATTGCAGTGGATGGATGGATGGATGGATGGATGGATGGATGGATGGATGGATGGATGGATGGATGGATGGATGGATGGATGGATGGAAGGAAGGAAGGAAGGAAGACAGACAGACAGACAGACAGACAGACAGACAGACAGACAGACAGACAGACAGACAGACAAAATAGCCATGATTCTCACCATCTTCCTTCAGCAAATGGAGAGAACTTCCTATCCACAGTCTAAATCTAAGCCATAGCTACACTTCTGTTTCTCAACCTCTGTGGAATGAGGGGTTACAGGAATCCTGCTTGAGATTTTACAGACATATAGTGCTTTGGGGTATGGGACACACCTTAGAGGTTTGGAAGAGTCTGAAATTTCTGCCTTATGCTTTGAGAATTTGGAAAGGACTTGAGAGGTGAAACTGCTGCCAGTGAGCAGTGGTTATGCAGGACGAGCCATTATGCAACAGCTGAAAGCATATCCACCATGCCAAGTTCCGTGAAACCTGGACTTCATTACAGATTAGTCAAGTTTTGGTTCAAGTTCAAGATAAAGCTAGTTCACAAAGCTAAAGCCCAGCAAACTCTTGCAAAGGACTACAGTTTAAAAACCCAGCAATGGAATACTGAAAAACACTACATAATAATGATCAATGATCACCAAAGTATGCAGCCCGTGCCTGATGAAATATAGGAAAGAATTTTAAAAACAGAAGTTTACAAATTACAAAGACGGCAGGAGAAACACATTAAATCTTTTCAAATGCTGGAGTAAGGAAAACCTTGGTTAAAGCAGGTGGAGAAAACACATGATCATTAATCTCTTTTGTTCTGTGTCACTGAAGTTAGTCCTTCAGCACTGCAATTTAGTTTGAGTACTAGTTTACAGTTTTGGCTTCAGCCACGGAGCATGTATGTTTAAGGCCCAGTCTTTGCTCAGCGTATGTTTGAAGTATGTTCCCAAGGTCTGCTCCAGTGAGACAGGGCACATAGTAAATGATGACAAACAGAACCACCATAGGAAGGTCAGGTGTCAAAAGCAAGCCCCCTGAACACAACAGCTTTAGCCTCAAGTGAGTAGAAAAATACAATGCAGCAGACAAATATCATGCCAAAATCATGGTACTCCCATTGAACATTTTCCATTTGCCCTCTCTTGCCCTTCTTTTACAGAGGGAAGGAGATGCTCTGCTAATCTTCCACACTCTGCTGGGGGAGAGCACTCTGTCACCATCCTTCACCCTACATACTTGCTGCAGTCACGGAAACATTTAGAGAAAACAACTGCAGTGGTAAACTCTCTGGTAGCAATCACCTTGGAGGGGACAGCAGGCCAGCCTCCAGAGGGGTTGGGCACAGATCCGCTGGTACCTATCCACTATATAGATAAAACAAAAATGAGTAAGAATTTGGAGAGAACTACTGGAGCAAACCTTGAATGATTTTTAGGGGGTTGAGTGTTAGTACATTTATTTGGATACAGGCGCCAATGATGAAGTCAGTCTGATTGAGTGACTTCAGTACATCTTATGTCCAACCACTTCATTTTTTAGAATCGCAGTGCAGCAAAATCTGGCTGTGTGTTCTGTAGCTTCTCCAATAACTGGCGTATCTATTTCCCTGGAAAATGCTTCACAAGTTCTTGGAATCACTTTATATCTTTATTTACACATGAACACAATGAATAATCCTCATATATTAGGCAGGACTTAAGATGAGAAGCAATGGAATGTATAACATCTTGGCAAACATTTCTAAGTGCAGCTTCCGTGACTGAGTGTCATTTATTTAATGTAGATGTATCATTGAGTTAAGACCAGAAGAAGTGCCTGGTTGGATCTACTATTCTGTTCTCAAAAGTGGCCAGCTAGATACTTCTGCCTGCTATTATGTTAAAGATACTACAAGAAATGGCACTTTAATCTGATATATCTATAATATAAACGGATGCTGCTCCTTTATAACCAATGAAAGGACTGGGAAAGCAATGTGAACCAAAAGTCATGGTGAACTTCAGGAATGCAATTTCCTTTCGGGTTTGAAAAGAGAAAAAATAATCAGTGTATACGTTTGTGGCTGGAAAGGGAGTGAGATTAATACTTGCATGAATAAGCCCACAATGGTTACTACCCTGCAAACAAACGAAACACACACGGCTGCTGGGGACTGGAAGAAGGACAGAGAGCTGTATTCCTCCTCCATCTCTCTGTTGCATTTCTATGCTAGATGTGGAAGAAATCCCTTCTTTCTCTGGTAGCCCCATTTGCATTTTATGCTACACACATAGAGCAGATGGACCATTCCTATCATCCTTTGCCAAGGCCACTCACTCTCCCATCCAGAATTCCTGCTGCTGATGGCTACTGGAAAATGCTTCAAGAGAAGGCTGCAGAACAGTCATATATTTAGGAATTGGTACTATGCCAATCTTTCCACATGTGCTCAATAAATACACCAAAACAGAGAGAGAAATCAGACAAGTATCAACACCAGTAATTCCAGGGCTGTCCCAAAACATTTGGTTGTTTTAGACAAATCACTGTATAATATTTTTCCCCCACATAAGACAGGGCAGATGGTTACCAAATCTAGCCAACCTATTTTGGCACCTGATATAGACAATCTCATAAGCACCCCTTCTGATCCCTGGCAGTAAAGATACAGTACTGCAATAGTAGAGCAAATAGCTAGATTTGCTGCCTTTTAAAGAGACCTTAAATCTGCTACTTGAAGCAATGGCCTTAAAGCCACCTGTCCCTTGTTAAGGTCATTCCTCTTCCATCCTAAAATATTAAATAAATAAAGTGCTAAATAGGTGCACCCAGGTCAGCAAGGAAATCAGCACAAGAGGCCACAAGAGAGGCCACCAAATAGAAGCTCATCACAGAAAACAGAGTATCATCACAGAGCTCAGATCTCATACTGTCTCACAGATCCACATTAATGTGCCTTATTAAACACAGCAGAGATGTCTGCAAGAAGCAAGGTTGTAAAGTTTGGGAGAAATCAAACATCAAGTATAATAAACTTGTTATAAGGGCAAGACATTCAGAACAGACTATGACTGGGGCCAGAAACAGCCATTTCAGACAGCCTGTGACTGGAAAGGGGAAACCCTTAACTAATGTGAGTGTCATGTAACTCTGGGGACCATACAGCTTTTTCCTTGTTCTTTCTGGACAATATAACATATCATCAATGGCTGCACACAGCACCACCTACAAGACGTCAACATGAACTATATGAATTCTTCACATCAGTCAGAGATGACTCCAAAGTGGAAAAACATATCCTTATGCATTTCAGGAAAAACATTATTTGGGCTTTTATTTGGCACGGTTGGCTGTTTCTACCTGGCGAATAAACCAAATTATAACCCTTAACTTGTGCTAAAGGCTATGTCTTTCTATTGTTTTTACCCACTTCTACAGCCAAAAAGAAACTTTAATTTTGAGCAGGGATCTTGGCACGTTTTTCACTCTAGATCCCA